CTTAAACTGAGACTGTCTTGTTCTATACTATATCCAGAAAACACATTTCCAGCAATCAGCTGTGGTTTTGCAAAACAGCTATGATGTCATTCATGGAAATAACCAATCAGCTCTGGTTATGCAAAACAGTTATGATGTCATTAATGGAAAGAGCCAAACAGATGTGTTTATGCAAAACATTTATGATGTCATTCATGATACTAACCAATCAGTGATGTGAAGAGCCATGGAAAGGTTTAGATTTTAATACAAGAGATCATCAAGTTCTTTTATTTATTATTCAGAAAGCAATGAAGACTCTTGATAAATGGAGTGCACAGGAAGTGATGGATAATGACTGGCTGAAAAAAGAGGTTAGTTATTGCTGGATTTGAAATGAAATTTGAAATGTATCCGTTGGGAACTGCATTTTGCCATCATAAATGTTGTGTTTTTATTTCATAGGCTGTAATTCATAGGGAAGAAACCATCAATCTCAAGGAACTTGTTGAACGACTTGAAAAAGAAAATTTAGAAATTATGAGTGAGTTGTTTGATTGTCGGATAGAAGATCTTAAAATATCTAGGTAAGATTATTCATTATAATATATATACTATGCATAAACAAGCACCCTAACTAGCAGTTTTGCACTGTTTTGCTAACAGAGTAGCAATATTGATATCAGCTTTCAGATGTTACATTTGAAATATCAATATTGCTATTTTGTTTGTAAAACAGTGAGCTATATTGCAATACTATTGGTTGTTTTTTTGTTCACTAGTAAGGGTTATCATTTTACATGTAGTGATACGTCATATTTACAATTGACTTTGGGTCAAGGTGTATGTGTGTGGTTTTCCTGACAGTGTCAAGTATGCTTGCTTGACATTGACATTGCAAAACATGTAGATGTTTATCATTGTGATGCTATGGTTCTGGTCAGTCCTGTGTCTACTAGATAGATTTAACATATTCAACTTTCCCAACTTGTTGACAGAAATTTTTATCTGACACAATTTGAAGACAATGAGAATATAGAAGAGACTGGTATTTTGGAAATGGATTTATCTCAAATTGATTTCAAAAAAGATGCAGCAATGTTAGCTATTGAAGCGTCCATCTACCTACAGATCAGGTAAGTTACTTTGTTTCCAGTATTGTATTGTTACTCTTATAGACACATACATAATGTCATTGTTTGTACACATTGCTAGTACCGGTATAGGCAAGCTGAGATAAAAGAATAAATAATCCCTACCAGTAGTGTTTAAATCAAATTTTAGAACATGCTGGCCCAACAACAGTCTGTCTGATATTGTTGTTGACAGGAGCACTTCTAATCCTTCTGATGACAGGTGAGAATAACACTGACATCACTCTCGTCTTGTCAATCAACAAGTTCTTCTAGTTAGGGCAGATGCACTTGTGATCTCTTGGGTGAGCCAAACTTGGCCATTTATACAATTTTACTGATCTGCTTTATGCAACATGAGCTCATGGTTGGCGATTGCTGACATGTTCTGACAGTCTTGCTGCCTTTATTACAGAAGATTCAGGTGAGAAAAAAAGCCGTCCTAAAAGTGCAACGCAGTTAGCTGTTGAACGCAAGGTCTTCTCTATAAGTACTCTTGAAGAGGAAGATGAAGATGGGTTAGAAGACTTCATTAAAGAGGATCTTGGTTCTAATGATGATGATGATCTCAGTGCAAATGAGAGAGAACAAGCAGATGCATATTTAGATAATTATTTTAGTTTAGAAGATGATGACTATGATGTAAGTATGATGAATGTAAAATGATTATCTATTGGGTGATGAATGTAACATGCTTAGCTATTGGTTGATGCATGTCTTGTAAATATGATGAATGTAACATGCTTAGTTATTGGTTGATGACTGCTATGTAAATATGATGAATGTAACATGCTTAGTTATTGGTTGATGACTGCTATGTAAATATGATGAATGTAACATGCTTAGTTATTGGTTGATGACTGCTATGTTAATATGATGAATGTAACATGCTTAGCTATTGGTTGATAACTCTGTAAATATGATGAATGTAACATGCTTAGTTATTGGTTGATGACTGCTCTGTTAATATGATGAATGTAACAGGCTTAGCTATTGGTTGATGTATGTCTTGTAAATATGATGAATGTAACATGCTTAGCTATTGGTTGATAACTATGTAAATATGATGAATGTAACATGCTTAGCTATTGGTTGATAACTATGTAAATATGATGAATGTAACATGCTTAGCTATTGGTTGATGACTGCTATGTAAATATGATGAATGTAACATGCTTAACTATTGGTTGATTACTGCTATGTAAATATGATGAATGTAACATGCTTAACTATTGGTTGATGACTGCTATGTAAATATGATGAATGTCACATGCTTAGCTAATGATTGATGACTACTATGTAAACATGATGAATGTAACATGTTTAGCTATTGGTTGATGCATGTCTTGTAAATATGATGAATGTAACACGCTTAGCTATTGGTTGATAACTATGTAAATATGATGAATGTAACATGCTTAGCTATTGGTTGATGACTGCTATGTAAATATTATGAATGTAACATGCTTAGCTAATGATTGATGACTGCTATGTAAATATGATGAATGTAACATGTTTAGCTATTGGTTGATGCATGTCTTGTAAATATGATGAATGTAACATGCTTAACTATTGGTTGATAACTATGTAAATTTGATGAATGTAACATGCTTAGCTATTGGTTGATGACTGCTATGTAAACATGATGAATGTAACATGTTTAGCTATTGGTTGATGCATGTCTTGTAAATATGATGAATGTAAAATGCTTAACTATTGGTTGATAACTATGTAAATATGATGAATGTAACATGCTTAACTATTGGTTGATGACTGCTATGTAAATATGATGAATGTAACATGCTTAGTTTGTATATACATGTTGTAGTACATATGATGCCTGATCAACCAATCATTACATACAAGTGTGTTTTGGATATCTGTCCAAAAATGCAAATGCAAATTTGATTTCCCTTTATTCAGTGAAATTTTCCATGTCATTTAATTTTTCCTTTACATTTACAGGAATTTTTAAAGCTTGGGCCACTAGAGTTGAAGCTTTTGAGCATATCTGGCACATCTAAACCTTTACATGTACAAAAGAAAATCACAGCAGAAGAAGAAGATGCCAAGGCATCGGCACCAGATGAATGGCCTGTGACTAAAGAAATGTTGTACCAAACAGTTGTCTCACAGTAGCCCATTTACATGG